TTATGAACGAATGCCTAAAAATAGTCCAACTATGTCCACTTCGAGACAAGCTTCCTCAAAGATGGCTCATTTTAAAATATTTGACTAGCAGCTTGTAGTGAAGAGCCCTAAATTGTGTATTTCGTCAGCTGTTAAGAACTCGGCCAATCTCAAAAAGTTCCTGAGTGAGGCGCGGGTGCCTGAATTTGAAATTATGAATGAATGCCTAAAAACAGTCGAACCATAACAAAATAAGTTGGTTTCTTTTTTGGTTAAATGTTATACAAATATCAGCGCGAGAGACGACTAGCTGCTTATAAATGTTATGTACGTCCAATATTGGAATATGCGGGGTGCGTATGGGACCCATACAGGAACCAGCAGGGCGAGCAAATAAAAAGGATGGAGGCACTTCGGTTGGTTTTTCCTCAGTACAGGCACACTTAATCGGTTACAGCGGCAAGAAATGAAGTGGAGCTTGACTTTTTAGAGGAAAGAAGGAAATTGGTGTAGACAAAAAGAATTATACGCTGTGGCCAATGGCTTGACGAAGATTATTCCCGATCTGCACTTTTTGTCTTCATCATCACCCTTCAAAAGGACGAGTAATACTAAAGCAATTTCACCCTAGCAGTACAGAAATGATGTCTTTAAATACACTCTTTTTTTTTTCCGAACTATTATTGAGTAGGACGATCTGCCAGAGCGATTTGTCAAATGGTGTAATCCTGAATTATTTGTGGTACCCCTGAATGAACCGTTTAGTTACGTTTCTCATGTGAAAATGTATATCTTGAGCATGCGTGGGTAGCTACAACTAACTTGCGCTCGCTTCACGCAGTGAGTGCATGATTGAACTTCTTGTTTTGTGTGAGTTGTATTTTTCCAGCCTGTGGTAAACCGAAAGGTTCAGAGTATTCTAAATACATAAATACAAAAAGCGAGTGAGGACAGGACAAGCGTTTGTCCTCCCCTTTGTCTTCCGCGCTAATATTTTGATGATAGTCCAACCATGTTCACTTCAAGGCAAGTTTACACAAATATGGCTTATTTTAGAGGATTTGCCATGGTAGCTGCTTATTGACGAGAGCCTTAAATTTTGTATTTCATTACCAGTTAACTTTTCGGCCGACCTCAAAAAGTTCCTGGATGAGGCACCGGTGCCCAAATTTCAAAAGATGAACGAATGCGTAAAAACCACCAAACCATTCCCAATTTGACACCAGTTTCTTCAAAAAGAATCCTTTTCGACTATTTGCCTTAGTACCAGGATAGGCTCGAGTGCTCTATATTTTATATTCCGCGTTTACCTGGGAACTGAGTTGTCCTCAAAAGGCAGCGCGCGTACATTTGACGCAGCGTGGCATAGATTTGAGCTTAAGAAACACTTTTTGTTGCTCGTACGGTACAGATATTGGGTAAGGTAAACTAAATTAACCTTAGCTTGGAAATTTTTTAAATGTTTGACTGTCAGAAGTGAAGACAAGCCTCATTGGAATTTCCTTCCCAGTTCAAAAAAGGACGACGAAGTTTAGTCCTAGAAAGGACAAGGAAGAAGTGTACTGGTGAAAGGCGGGCGGTACACTGGCAGCAGTGTATAGTCTACTATAAACAACTCTATGCTTCTTCACAAAGCATGTCGGCAGTTTTTTCCAAAACGTGAAGAACGCTGGGTTTTGTACTTTGCATGTCCAGTGGAGTAGGGGACACTTTTAAAGAAAAGGGTGTCACTTGACCCCCTCTTGTCCGATATAATGCACCCCAAAACTTTAGTTAGACGTAGAGAGAACTAGAGTCGAACAGACGCTCCCAAATGTTACGAGGGGCTTGATAACGGTGCTACATAACTTATTAAATAGCTAAATCACGTATGAAAGACCACAGAAAGAAATCACTGATGTTTTGCAGTAGAGCCAAGAAAACCCCTTTTTTGTAGTCAGTAACACGTACATTAACTATTTTAATAAGTTGTACCACACGGCTATCAAGCCTCCCGTGAAAGTTTGTAGCGCCAGATCGACGTTAGTGCGCTCTACGTCGAACTGAAGTTTTGGGGTGTATTATATGGGACCAAGGGTGTAAGAATACACCTTTTTTTTAGAGTGCATAACACTCTTAGGGGCTTCTCTCAATCCTGGTCCTGCCATACCTGAAGTACTGCAGCTCCAGATCAGACTTCTATCAAGTTGATCTCGCAAAATCAGTAGAAAGTGTTCAGCAAAGGGCAACTTGCGCAGTTCTTCGGCAGCCAGGTTCGCTCCGGGTGTCCCGCTGCTGTGACATCGGCTAGAGATTTAGCCCTTCATTGGAGGGCCAAAAATGTTCTCAAGTGTGGCTCTCCAGTGGGTCGACTTATTATGGCTCCTAGTCCTAAGACAACGTTGTGGAACTGTAAGGTCACGAGACTGAAGTTACGAGAGTTGCTTGTGACAACCCTGCCGGTGCCTCTCAACCGCGTTCTACCGTAGAGCAACATCATTCCTTCTTGGTGGGGTCTTCACCGTTCTTACAATTCCTTTGCGTGCACTCACGCTGAACTCCCTATCAATCATGACAAGCTCGAAAACATACGTAAACATGCAATTCTCACTCCCAGTGAGCTAAAGCAGTGCATCGGTGTCTTGTTGTGATTTCTATCCTGTTTCCGCCCAGTCTTTTTTTTTTTTTTTTTTTTGCCCTTTTACAGGGCACAGCAGAATTCTCAGGACGGTCCTTTGGTGTATTTACTATATGAGATTGTTTTTAGCAGGATAAAACGATAAAAGCACCTTCAGCTTTTCAGAGCGCAGCTCTTAAGGCCCTATCACGCTGAGGCAACACGACGGCAACAGCAACACAACACATTGTCCAACAATCGCACAACTTCTTGCTTGCTCCCCGTGTTGTCCGACGAACCTGTCGCATCTCAGCAACAGCAGGACAACATGGACAACTAAATTGTTGCCTCGGTATGAAAGCTTTCGGCAACAAAAAGAGCACCAACTTGTATTGGGCAACGTGTGTTGCCCTGATCGCTGGCTGAGCGAATTTCGCGTTGAAAACACGACAACACAGATAGCTTCGATGGCAGAGCTAGTTTCCTATCAATAACGTCTTACTCAAATAAAGGCTTCGAAAGCGTTATTTAACAATAATTAAGGATCGCGTGCATATAGAATAATTTGATGAATGTTTTTACTGCGTAATAACGGAAAGCGATTGTCGAAATGGTCGCAGCTACGGTCGTGAAGGTTCAGACTGGTGTTGAAATTACAACTGCCGAGAGACCAGCTTATAGTAATGCTAACGAAATAAAAGGGCATGCCTACTCACCCGCTGATAAAATATAATACAAATAATTCAGGAAAGCAAACACTAAAGAGTCAAAGAGTTAAAACGACCCCTCTGTTCATGATTGTGGATGCTTGGAACTTGGAAACAGCGGCTATACCAGACACCTGATTCGTTTCAAAAATACCCACGACGTTTTCGTGAATAAAGCGATTACATAGCAGGCGGCAGGCAAATAGACAGCGTTGAAAAATCTTTATTCCAGCGATTGTTATAAGGGTCGATTGTGCCGGTGTCGCAGTCTTGAAGCACTGTCAGTTCAGCTCAACACCGCGCTACAAAAGAAGCTTTGGGGTACTGCCGGTGCAAACACAATTTTATAGTAGAAATAGGAATTGTATGGAAGGAAAGAACCGGACAGAAAAACTCCATACGGTTTTCCTCGGTTATGGCGATCTGCTTTGTCAGCGAATAAAGAACATTATGATAAAATAAAGTGTAAAATAGTCCCCGTGCCAACTTTTCTAATCACAGTCACTGGTTGATGTCTCGTGGTAATTTCCCGCTCTTCAAACGCTCTAGCGCTTTGTAGAGTCACATTTCTAGCAACTCCTCGCTGCACACGAGCGAAGGTAAACAATCAAGATGACGGAGTGTTCCCCGTGCCGCACCCGCCGTCAGCGCGGTGTGACAGGGTTGTCGAACAACGAATGAAACAACACGGTTGCCGGGCGGCAGCAACATGTTGCCCGACTGCTGTTGTTCCCGCGATGTGACAGGGTCGCCGGCAACACAATTTCCTCGTGTTGCCGGATAGAGTTGTTCAACCGTTGCCTTAGTGTGACAGGGCCTTTAGGCGCCCGTTTTCGCGAACAGCGGCGTCGCCGTCGCCGTCGTCGTCGCCGTCGGGGTAACCGCCCCGCTAAATTTATCGGGAACTTGAATTGGTGTCGAGGTCATGTGACGTCAATTTCCCCGCTAAATGTAGTGGAGAAACTGAATTTGTTCATCGGTGACGTGTCACGAAGTCATGTGACGTCATTTTCCTCGCTAAATTTAGCGGGCAAACTGAATTGGTGTTGAGGTCACGTGGCTTCAATTTTCAAGCTACATTTAGCGGGGAAATTGTGGGACGAGGGGAGGGTACGAGGAAAGAGGATGGCAGGGTACGTAGGAGGAGTAGGGGAGGGTACGGGAGAGGAGGGGGCGAAGGAGGCGGAGGGGAGAGTAGAAGGAGGCAAAAAGGAGGAGAGAAGGCGGGGAGGAGTAAAGGAGGGGGAGGAAAGGGGAGAGAACGAGGAGACAAAGAGGGGAGAAGGAGAGGAAGGTGAGGGGGAGAGGAGGATGAGGAGGGGAGGGTACGGAGGAAGGGGGGCATACCATGTCCTCCGTACGCTCCCCTCCCCCTCCTCAAGAGCTGCGCTCTAGTTTCGCATCACAGAGATTTGGATGATCGGCTTTAAATCGAAGGTGCTTGCTTTATCATTACTGAGCTGGAAGTGTGAGTACCACTCTTATATCGCTCGTATTCCACGAAATTGCAATTATTTACTCGTCGCAGACCTAAGCTCGCACTGCTGTTCTACGACGATCATCCGCAGCCACTTTGATGCGAACTAGTGCGCCCCCTATAGGCCGTGGAAGTTTCGCATTCCTCAGGGTCGGATATGCTGCGAGGCGGCCTCAGTGTTTTGTGGGGACGGTTCTAGGTTTTTGTAAATCCCCGCGCTGACCCATCGTCTGGCCCGCAGCTCACGGTGCTGCTGTACCTGGCCCGCATCGGCGCGTACTGGATGTGGCGGCGGAAGATCGACCCCGACAACGCCCTGATCCCGCTGCTCACGGGCTTCGGGGATATGTTCGGCACCGCCCTGCTCCTCGTCGCCTTCGTGGGCCTCGGCGCCGCCCGAGACCCCAGTGTAACGCCCAGCCACAACGCAGCCCGCCCCCCAAGCCCCGTCGCTCACTGAGAGAAACTCGAGAACGCCGTCCAGATGCACTAGGGCCTGCCCCGCACCACCGAAAGCCCATTGACGTGCGTATTTTACAAGTTGCGACCAAATAAAGCCCCTTGATCAAGGCGTTTTTTTACAAGTATCGCCAACCATTGTTGTGGAAACGCGCAAGTCACATGCTACGAGCAGGTTCTCCGCTGTCATTCGCTCCCAAGGGTCGCTCATTTCCAAGCTGCGCTACGCGATGTGGGCCATCGAAAGCGTCGCTGTGGTCGGCCTTCCACGATTGGTCGAATACTGACTATGACGTCAGCAAAGGATGCCTGATCGACAGAAAAAAAAAAAAGAAATGAAAGAGCTTGAATTTTGACGGTGTTGGCACTGTTGCTCCGAGAGCGCCATGATTTCAAGCTTCCACCATGCTAATTACAAACACCATCGAAATCGTTGTTCCAAAGGGAATAACGTCACGAGAGGGAACCATAGGAGGGCGCCCACAAAAAATCTCAGCCGCTAATAGACCATTTTCGTGGCAAACGCCACCAGGCGGGGCTCCAGTCTTTAACGTCCCAGAGAACTTCCGGTTCATAAGAAGAACGAACAACGCTGACAAGATCATAAACGCCCTTTTGCCAAGGGAGCTTTATGCGGCGAATCCGATCCAAGAGCGCCCGACGGCACGCTCGCTTTGCGCGCGACGTAGCAGCCACTGTGCTGATGCCACGCGCAGAGCAAAAGCCGCCGGGCCAAGTTGGTCGATTTTTCGCAGCGCCTACGCCCATTGGAGTCGAGCCTTTAAAGGGGCCTTTATGCTGGCCGTGTGAAATAACACCGCAGCTTCAAATGTCCATGAAACGTTTTAATAGTGTTCTAGAATGCGGAGCAGTGTTTTGGCCGGCACGACTCGATAGTGGGAGTGTGTGAAACCGCGCGTGCGGACAACAATCGCGGCGCTGCAGTCGACAAGGCAGCAGCAAGTCGCTGCAGTCCACACGTGCCGCCGCCCACGCCCGTGCACGCGATGCACGCGCACAACCACCACCATTCTGAACCCACTGGCGCATGGCTCTGTACTCTCAATGCGAAGGTGTCAACACCATTCGCGATCTACACAACACGCTTCAGGCGAGCCGCTCCGGTCCCAACACTAACCCGTATTCACTGAAGTTTAACCCACGACCAGCTCTATATATGCGAGCCAGACTTGTACACGATACTGAAAAATAGTAAGGAATTACATTTACAATTACTCAAGGCTAAATTGTAATTTATTGCAATTACAATTACCCTCCCATAAAAGTAATGACCGTTACCCAAAAAAAATAATCCGTTACTTTCGCGGCGTTACTTTTAACATTAATTTCCTCAAGTAAGAAACAAAGGGAAGAGGGTGATTCAAGTTCTTATTGTTGCAACCTGTTCCATTTAATGACCTTTAGTATTTTGAGCATCAGCTGGCTCTCGAAAGTCTCGTCAGACATTCTGCGTTATTTCTTACTCAATATGTTGACTGCTACGCTGAACATCATTTGAGCTGAGGCACTGGATGGGAGTGCCATATTGTTCCTCAGCGAAGCAATGGAAGTACTATTTTCCTCGACCGTAGAGCAAAGCTTCGTCGTTGCAGCCGTTGCCTGCTATTCGAGAGATTTAGTAGATCGTTCCAATATCTCCGATACCCGCGATAACGGTACCCGATAACGATATGATGAATGCGCAAAGACGGCGGCGAAGTATCGGATATCGTTATCGGCGTCATCGGACCGATCTACTAAATTCTCTATTGTCTAAATCAGGAAGATGTGGAAGTCATCATACATCTTGCCAAAAGTCGATGCATATATTGCCAGACAATAGCCGAACATAGTTGTAACAGTAAGGTGATAATTAAATAATAAATAAGGTTTGGCTCGATATTCTTCTTCCTTTGGTTCTGAACGGGTCGAACCTCGGTTGAGACGTTGGTGAATAAAAAAAAGGTTTCCAGTATATAAATACAAGTAATAAAAGAAAAAGAAGAACACTCATAACAACAATTAATTAGAACGTCTTTTAAAACAGGAAAATGTAAACGCACGTTTGCCGTGTGTACCTTTATTGGTGCCGTTCAAAAACGCACGGAGCACGAATCGACTGCAGTTTACCCCGGTGTTCTCCAGATAGACGTCCACTGATGCCACAGGCAGCGAAGGGTAGAGTACTAAGTAGGCCACGCTATGACCCCACTCACGAGTTTCACTCTCTCCTCAAGCCCAGAATATCAAGTCTACTTCGGAATTAAAAGCAGCGCGGAAAGACGAGGACCAAACAAAGAAGTGACACGGACAGCGCTACGTCCGTGTCACTTCTTTGTCTGGTCCTCGTCTTTTCGTGCTGTCTTTAATTCCGAAGTATGCACCAACTCGCCCAAGCCTCAACTTTAGCATCAAGTCTACGTCAGCCACCATTATGTTTTATTTGTAAAAATATCTGCTTAAGAAAAGATTTGTCCTGCAGGGACAAAGCAGGAAGAAGAAAAGAAGACCATTACCATTTTCCAAGTGCTCGCAAAAAGCTGACTCACAAAAAGGGTGATTGAGATGCAGATAAGCTGGCTGGAACTCACAAATAAAGTGGGCCAACCCTAGAAGTTGGACTACAAAAAAGTAAGTGCTTTTAAAACAGGGTCAAATAATATGAAAGATGCAGAAAAAAAATACATCCTGTTTTTTAAGGGAAGATGATAAGTGTGCAGCAACGAACGACGGCGCTTGTGGCAATAACACCTTCACATATTATCACATCTCTTTTAGTGGATTTTAGGGTAGACGGTGCGTTGTCTCGTGCTGTGACATTATGAAAATGATGGCAGTCACTATATTCGAGAAGGACATTGTTAATTATTTTCAGTGCACTTACCGCCTCGAGCTTCTCCAAGAGGCGCACCAAATACTTTACTATACTTCGTCTCACCCTAGGATGGACTAAAGGTAAAAGCTGCGGGCCACTAGACCCAATCGCAAGCCACTTAGAAATTGCGCGGATTTCGCTTCGATGCACGTGTCGGTACCTGCGTCTAGGATCACTAATGGGTATGGGCAGACAGTGGTTCGAATTGAATAGCACTGAGTGACTCATCAATTCTACATCGCAAAGAAAGCTACGACATACAGACCCTTTGCAGTGTCAAAGCTATAGAAATGATGAAGCGCTTTTTGATTCGGAGCATTATGCGTCTACGCCTAATCAATGTTAAGCATGTCCTAGTTTAGCGTGTAACCCGATTGGACCTAGCGGCCCGTGGCTTTGGCCTTTAGTCCACCGTAGGATGAGTCAAAGTACAGGTATTTGGGCGAACAATCACTTGGTGTCCTCCTCTCCCCGTTTTCGATCTTAAAGAAAAAAACAAAGCGACTAAAAAGTCGAAAATAACTTGCTTCCCCCCCCCCCCCCCCCTTTTTTTCTTTTTGTAGAAATGTTCGTTTGGATTTTTTGACACTGTTGTTGGGGTCTAAAACAATTAATTCAGGGACTTGGTGCTGCAAAAAAAAAAAAAAAAGGCTTTCCGGAACCGAAGAGTGCCAAGCCTTTCTTTGCGCTATTTCGGTGTTTAGTAGCGCACGGATCTGAAGACGGCTGTGGGGAATTTATCTGGCGACAAAGTCGCGCCATCTTATTGGGCGCTGAAAAAACTACCGGAACATTGTAGCGCTGGGTTACCTTTTTTAGATTGCGCGTGACATTGTGCATATATGGAATGACAACAGACCTCGAAGTCGGTCTATTGGTGTTTGATTTTTGATTACCTCTAATCGTTTTTGTTAAGCTTTCTGCCACATCAACCAAAGATCTCAGCGGAAAACCAACCTTCTGCAGGCGCTCTATCTGCCCCTCAAAGCTGCCTGTACTCCAGCTTACCCTTCCCTAAGGAGTACCCACACCAAGAACTCGGGCGGACTTTTCGAGATGTTTAATAAATGTTTGTATCCATCTCAGTAGGTTATACAGTTATGGAATGGAGCGTCCGAGCACTTAAGCGCCATTGCTCGTTTTCGTGGGTCCATATATCTTATGAGCGAATGACGTTTTAGTGAACAGCAACGCTTTAGACTCCATCTCACCAACATCTGCAGTGCAGACCAGGGTGTCGAACCGGAACCGAACCGAAAACCGGAACAGAACCGTTATTTTTAGCCGAACCGGAACTGAACCGAACCGAAATCTTCACCGCCATCTTGGAACTGAACCGGAACCAAACCGAGAAAAAAATTTAGCGGTAACGGGTTCCAAACGGTTCAAGATAATTTTTTTGTTAGTATCACAAAATGAACACATGGGAATAAAAAATTGGCGGCTGTATTTCTATCTATTGATCAAATTGTCATATACAGGATTGCAACGTATGGTATTGTGGCTTTTTGTGGCACTTTTGTATTGGCACTATGATTAACCATGTGTAACGTTGTCACGTGACGTCATGATGTCAATACATGTTGTCAACGTTATTAGATTAGCTCAGTTACGGAACTGCTCATAGGCGCCTCATACACGAACAGTACCCCCCCCCCCCCCCCTCACTCGCCAAGCGTCGCTCGACGCGCGGCCAGATGGCTGCTTTGGTAACTGAATCAGGATACGCACGTTTCAACGTTACTAGAAACGTAAAAACCAACGGAAAAAAAACTCTTTTTGTAGTAACTTTTATTGGACTTTAGTACAAAATGGGGGACGCGTGATGTTTTCTAAGATCTTTAGTTTGCAAGGTTTTGCAGTAAAATTAATATTGTTTTCATACAACCATGCCTCAGCGGCGATTTCAGGTAGCACGTCCCGACCTAGGCTCATCTTAACTTAGGGGCAATTTCGCGGCCCGTCCGCCGGGGAGACGGGGGTTGGCTTGTCATCGGGTTGCGGTCGCTCGTTCGAGTGAAGCGTCTCCAGTTTTGCACGCGCCCAGGGACCTCAATTTATTTGTGGTCCCAGGGGTTCGAAGCCTCCGCCATGTCGACGCCTACGAAGGCACAGTGTTTCTCTTTTAATGTTCCGGCGGACACTCCGGTAGATGCCATCATGGACAGCATTCAAGCCGTCGCCGGCGGGGGTGGTCTGTCGTACCCGCAACACCACGGTGGAGTAAGGTTCATGGCAGCGGTCAGCACC